TTAGGACCAGAAATACCCTCGAACAAAAAGTAGTAAATTTCTCTACCAGTCCTGGAATTTGCTTAGCTGGATCGTGCCCTTGAAGTGTAACCATAGTGTGTGGGTATGGCAACATAATATTTGAGATATGAACTTCTTAATAGCCAAATGAAATTTTTCATCAGAGGAATACCTTTTTTATTGAATCTCTTATTTTATAATGAATCTTATAGGTCACTGTTGACGTTATACACATAGACTTCTCAATTTGGTCATCTGTGCTAGACGGTGTTGACGATATCAATCAGAGCAAAAGGTAATTGGCTCCTTTTAGCAACCTGTGCATATCGCAAAGGAAAATCCTCATTAAAAATTTTCGAACTACAAATCCGCCTATGCTTTACGGCTTAGTGAAGGGCAAGTCGTCTACAAAAGCAGAAGACTATTATTTCTCGGAAAGCAAAATACATGACGTGAGCTAGGGGATCAAGTATGTAATGCGTATTTAGTTCTAGGACCTTCGATATTGTTATCTTCAACGCCGGGACCATGTTTCCGGAAGTGTCAAAGACTACTGATGGAATTGAGACTTGCCTACAGGTATGAGAATCTCAGATCGTTCCAAAAAGAAAAATTTTCCTAGAGCAATTTTCTTTTAGGTGAATGTTCTCGGCCACATGTACCTAGCCGATGCGCTCCTCAAAAATCGTCCCCCGAACCACAATATCCATTTCGTCTGCGTTTCTTCCACGCTATTCAAGTGAGTTAATCAGTGCAGTCCCATACACCCCTTGTTTACGACAGTGCGTTCGCATGCAAATTGTGATAAACAATTAATTTTTGCACACTGCAAAAAACAATCGCTGCAGGCTGTGTGGAACGTCATGGCCAGGCTGGAAACTGCCAAAGGACGGGGCTGCATGGGCCGACTTTTTTGCGCCAAAGGCAAAGTCGGGGTGGCGGGCGTACGCCCTGAGCAAGTTTGCCATCACCCTTTTGGCGTCACAGTTGGATGGAGTCGAAGGCGTTACCGCAGTGGCCGTAAACCCCGGAAATACTATGACGAATGTCACGAAAAATCTGCCACAGCGCCAACGAAAATTCCTGACCGTCTTCAAAAAATCGCTCATTACTGTGGTAAGTAGCAGCCCGACTACGGTATCCT